TGATAAAGAATAATCGTTTATATGAAAAAAGTAGCATCAAGCATTAAAAATATAGTTATTGGTAAACTGACTAAATGAGGGCTAAAGTGGGAGAGAACATATAGGCTATGTGCTCTGATAATATAAACATAGTACAGCTATTTTAAGATGAGGAAAGAATGAAACAAGCATACACACCCCTACCCCCCCAAAAAGGAATTGTTAACTGTTTTCGGTAATGATATGGGCAGTGGTAGTATTAATATGTTATCCTGAGGCATTGTGCATATATTGTAGAATAAAGCAAATGAATAATTGTAAGATATCCCAATTCTATCATCTTCTGTGGGCTTGAGAACCAGAATTTTTAGTACAGAATAAAGATAGTATATGTATGATGGAGAAGAGATTGCATAAAAACTCCAGTATGAATTTGAATTGGATGGATGCATAACCTAATTCTGAATTTGAAGAACCAGAATTTTTAGTACAGAATAAAGATAGTATATGTATGATGGAGAAGAGATTGCATAAAAACTCCAGTATGAATTTGAATTGGATGGATGCATAACCTAATTCTGTACACAGAAAAGGCCTAAAATGACAACCCAAGTAGCAATGACAGCAAAGCTTCCTAGTACCCATATTGTGTTCTTGGGATACTAATTCCCACTAGTAGAAAAAAGGGATTTGGAGAAAAAATACTGATTCTTGGATTGGGAAGGAATGGTATGAGTTTGAAATACTTTGTCATACCAGATATTAAGGAAACTATCCAAGACTACTGTCTTCATGTCAAAAAGACTCTGGAGCCAACTAAAGAGTTTCCCACTGGCCGAAGCAGAGACAAATTTGAGTTCACTAAAAATAATAAATGAATTAGATTTAAAACCAAAAAATATTTTTAAATATATGAGCTTATTTTGATATTTAAAAAAAATAACTGATCACCTTTGATAAATAAGAGGAAACAAATTTATTATCCTGAAAATTAGTAAATAAAAGGGAGAAAAATCCTTTGTCCTATTGTTCCTATATGAACTAAACCATTGAGTAACCAAATAATAGGAGAGGAAGCATTTCATTATAAAACTATTCAATGAGCATTTAATCTCTGACAGAGGTAAAGGCAGCCTATTCAATAAATGGTTTTGGGAAAACTGGACAGATGCATGCAAAAAAGAGAAACTGGACCACTTACATATAAGAATAAACTCAAAATTCATTGAAGACTTAAATGTAAGACCTGAAACCATAAAAACCAAAAACTCTAGAAAAAAAATATAAGCAGTAAACTCTCTGACATTGCTCTTAGTAATATTTTTACTGATATATCTCCTCAGGCAAAGTAAGCAAAATAAAAAAATAAATGGGACTACATCAAACTAAAAAGGTTTTGCACAGCAAAGGAAACTATTGACAAGATGAAAAGATGACCTACTGAATGGGAGAAAATATTTGCCTATGATATATCTGATAAGGAGTTAATATCCAAAGTTTACAAAGAACGCATACAAATCAACACCAAAAATACAAACAATCCGATTAAAAAATGGGCAGATGGCCTGAATAGGCATTTCTCTAAAAAAGATGTACAGATGGCCAATCGACATATGAAAAGATGCTCCAGATCACTAATCATCAAATGCAAATTAAAACCACAATGAGATATCTCACCTCTCACCTGTCAGAATGACTATTATTAATAAATCGAAAAACAGCAAGTGTTGGTGAGGATATGGAGAATAGGAAACCCTGGTGCATTATTGGTGGGATTGCAAACTGGTACAGCCACTATGGAAAACGGTTTGGAGGTTCTTCAAAAAATTAAAAATAGAATTACTTTATGACCCAGCCATTCCATTTCTAAATATTTATAAAACCAAAACACGAATTCAAAAAGATATATGCACCCCTATGTTCACTGCAGTGCTATTTACAATAGCCGAGATATGGAAGCAACCTAAGTGCCAACCAATAGAGTATTGGATCAAGAAGTGGTACATATATACAATGAAATATTTTTAAAAATAAAATCTTACCATTTGCAATGACAAAGAAGTACCTAGAGCATATTATGCTAAGTAAAATAAGTCAGACAGAGAAAGACCAATATCGTATGGTTTCACTATATGTGGAATCTAAAGAACAAAATAAATGAACAAAGGAAATAAAAACAGATTCATAGATACAGAGAACAAACTGGGGATTGCCAGATGGGAGGGAGGTTGGTGGGGCTGGGTGAAAAAGGTGAAGGGATTAAGAAGTACAAATTAGTAGTTATAAAAATAGTCATAGAGATGCGAAGTACAGCACAGGGAATATAGTCAATAATATTGTAATAACTATGTACAGTGCCAGGTGGGTACTAGACTAATCGGGGGATTACTTCATAAATTATATAAATATCTAACCACTAGGTTGTACACCTGAAACTAATATAAAAGAATACTGAATGTCAACTCTAATTGAAAAATGGAAATTAAAATAATAAAAAATAAAACAAACAAAAAACACTATTCCAACGAGTAATTGTAAAAGTTGATGGAATTAGAATATCACCATTTTGCAATGCTCCCCCACCCCGCCACCGCGCGTCAATGAATTAATGGATCTGGGCATTAGAGCACAAATAAGAAAAGAGACTACCCAAACATGATGTGCCTCTAGTCTTACCAAGGGGATTGAACCTGATCAACCCTCTAGCTCTAGCTTATAATTTTCAGAAAATACAAAAGAAACATGCTACACCTCACCATGAGTATGAAATCAGCAAATCTAGACTATCAGAAGCTCTACAGCTAAAACGACTTAGGTGCTTCAATAGATGTATTATAATTTTAAAAAATAGAGGAGGAAAACCTGTATATTAAAAGTGAATTAAAAGATATATCAAAAATTTCAAATGGGTAGAACTAAACTAGAGTCCAGGGATGTACATTTAGGTGAACCTCACCATGAGTATGAAATCAGCAAATCTAGACTATCAGAAGCTCTACAGCTAAAACGACCTAGGTGCGTCAATAGATGTATTATAATTTTAAAAAATAGAGGAGGAAAACCTGTATTTTAAAAGTGAATTAAAAGATATATCAAAAATTTTAAATGGGTAGAACTAAACTAGAGTCCAGGGATGTACATTTGGGTGAATAAATAAATAAATACATACATACATACATAGAAGTGAATGTACTAAAACTCAGAGTACAAGTTCTTTTTGGAGGGAGGATGGGGGTTGTGGTTAGGATGGGGCATATGGAGGAGCTGCTAGAGTGCCTGAAAAAGTTCTGTTTCTTGATCTGGGTAGTGCCTACAAAGGTGTCTGCCTTATTACAATTTGTTGAGTTACATATTAGTGCTGTGTGGTTTTACTTTATGATTCAATTTTTATGAAAAATAGGTGAGAGGACACATATGCCCTCTGAAAAGATAATTATCCAAGTTTAATAGCTGTTACCTTGACAGGGATAAATGTTTTACTATTTGTGATGTCTGGGATGTTGATTAAAAAGGAAAAATCTAATAATACATATACGTGCATGTATACGTATATACACATGCAAACGTACATACATAGTTTGTTTTGATTTTTACTTTAAAATCAATTCAAACTTACAAAAGAGTTGTATATAAAATAAAAAACCTCCTGTACATCTTTGACCTAGATTCATATTCATTGATTATTAAGATTTTGGCTCATTTGCCCTCTCGTGCTCTCCGTCTCCCTCCTTCCTTCTCTCTCTCTCAACTGCAAATACCATGTCTCTTTACCTCTAAATACATCTCCAAGATTTCTTTAAAAACAAGGCTCTAGATAACATATATGCAAACTTTTTACATGAATATATGTAATTATTAGCCTTGAAAATGTGCAGAGATTATATCAGATTAAAATATGTGAAAATACTATTTTAAACTATAAAGAGTTATTATTAAGAAACCCACCTCTTTTCCACTTAATATGCTTTAAGGAAATTAGTCACTTTTACCTGAAGTTTAAAGAACTTACTTAGCTCATTATTCGAGTGCATCTTCAGATAATACAAAATGAGGAGATGGTCAAAAATTGTGATAGTTTTCAATATGTATTCTCAACTTAATTGTAGATTAATCTGTTAAATTCTCAATTAGTCACGAATTTGATATTAGGGAAATTAGACATATGAAGTTCTGAAATGTAACAGAAATTTGAAAAATGCTCCCACATCTCTACAAAGTGAGAAATTGGAGGACCTGGGTTGGCTTACTTATTTATGTATGTATTTATTTATTTAGGTGGTACTCAAACCCAATGGAAGTTATATACAGAGGGATATAAATAAATAAAAACTGATTCCTCAGAAAAGTCCTCATTTGGAAGATTTTTAAGTGCATTTATAAACAATTTGTGGACCATATCGGTATTTCTAAAAAAAAGAGTGAAATCTGTAGGTAGTAGGTAGATAGTCTTAAAATCTCGATAGTGCTTTTCAGGATTTTGACATATCTGGGTTTGGTCTATTTTTGTGCAGAATATTTTCTTGTCAGAAAATATTGGGCCTGTTTTTATACTATGCACTAAATTAAGCTTCAGTCTACACTGAAATTATTTGACAAACTAGTTACTTCCAAAGGCACAATGAAAACACTGTTTTCTAAAATGTTTATGCTAAAAACGGTTCCACTGAAATACACGAACTCTGACCACGGCCCAATTAGATTGTTCCCGAGGTTTGCGTTTATAAGTAAGAAAAATTAGCACCTTGGTGTGCACTGGAATAAGACTTCCCAGCCCCACACTTTCTTGCATACTGAAAATAAAGCTTTTTATTTGGAATTTAATTGACTATTTGGGAGTATTAACTAGATGCCATCCAATTACCGTCTGTAAAGTAGAGGAAATAAAATGCACTGGAGCTTAATGTCATCGGATACTGCTTTCTTCTGAGAGGGTTGAAATTTGGGGATGCTTGAAGGGAGAGGTCGCCTTTCCACGGGACAGAGGAGTGCGCGGTGTGACAATGCCCTGTCTCTACCCTCAGGTGAGCGAGATGGAAGTGAACGGGCAGTTCGAGTCCGTGTGTGAATCCGTGTTCAGCGAGCTGGAGTCGCAGGCGGTGGAAGCCCTGGACCTGCCCATGCCCGGCTGCTTCCGCATGCGGAGCCACAGCTACGTGCGGGCCATAGAGAAAGGCTGCTCCCAGGACGACGAGTGCGTGTCCCTGAGGTCCTCCTCCCCGCCGCGCACCACCACCACCGTGAGGACCATTCAGAGCAGCACGGGTGAGTGAGCAGAGCAATGTCCCCCGGTCCCCGGTGACAGTGCACCACCAGAAACCTGGCCTCTGCGCCTGGGCTACAGCATAGCCGTCCTATAAGACTGTGCGCTGTGCCCTTGCAGTAATCACACGTAGTCACCAGTAACAAAATACTACCTATGCCTTGGAGAGCGGGGCTTTGCTTCCCTGCTTGCCTCTTTCCTCAGTCTCTGACCACATTCAACACCCCCTGATCTCTCCATCACCATCTCTGGTTTCAACAGAGGAAATTGCCACTACAGGACCAGGAGGGACAGCACAGGAAACAGGTCTTCCCAAGATCCCCACACAGCATTCGAGGAGCTAGCAAAGTCATCCCAACCAACTCCTACTCTCCACAATCAGGCTTTGACTTTTAGGAGGGAGACCCCCTAAATGAATTACGCACACTGATTGTAAAGCATCACAGCGGTGGGATGCTTATTTAAACCCAAGATATGCACAAAATGACTATCCCAAAAGACCTGAAATATCACTGTGAGAAAATAAGGAAGAAATCAATGATCCAGTAATATTGATTGAACATGTTTTTTCATTATAATAGAAAGCAAATTTACATTATTTTAAATTTTTCTGTCATGTATAGAGCATCTCCTTTTCCCTCTAAACTGAATTTAGGTTGATGCTGTTAAACTGTATTTTTAACAGTAGATTTTAGGCAGGGAGGCACAGAAGAGCTTAAGTGGTTCCATGACACCGGAACTTGCAGAGGAATGTAACCATGAGTTATGTACAATGATGTGTGTTGTTTTTTTTATATTTATAACATTTGGGTCCAAGAAGAAAATCCCTTCCCCCTTAACAAGGCTTAACTTTATGATTGAATTCAACACAACTCCAATACGGACTAGTTCTACCTAGAGTCAAGATAAATAATAATGAATAAATTAGAAGGAAAAACTTGTGCCAGAATATCGTTTTATTCAATTTTTCATTCTAGGTGTAGCAAATGTCAGTAACTATCATTCAGCCTAGAACTTTTGCAGGCTCGAAAATTAATAGGTCTTCAAACCTGAGTTAAAATTCTACTAATCAGAGATACAAGGTTGAACTTGTAAAAACCATTAGAGGCTAAACGAAAGGAGTTTATTATTGACCAATGCAAACAGAGACCAGGATTAGGG